TCTTGCTGCATTTTAGCAGATTTGAGCTAAGTTGCTGTTATAATTTTTGGCCAAACTATGCCATCTCCTTGAGATAACTAATGTTATATGTTTGCTAAAAACTTATAGCCTCATTACTCTTTAATAGCTATTCAAATTGTTATTGCAATCTATCGCTACTTTAACGTACAAATTTGATACTTTGAGTCTATATATATGAAATCAATATTTGATTATTGCAGATACAAAGTGCACAAAATACGAGGAATAGAACAAAACTTAAAGTCTCGCATGCCGGTGGTAGCAAAAGCAATGCAAGGAGAGGTCGTCAAATGGTAAGTTTCTTTACATTGAAGTTTATTTAAGAACCACGTTATTGTACAAAATAAAATGTATTGCTTGTTTACTTATTTTTATTTGTTCTTGATTAATGATAGGAACAAAATTTGGGAAGGCCGGTGTGCCGAAGTGAAGTTGTGTTGTCAACTTTATTGAAAAAGAATGGTAATTATGTGAATGAAGAGGGGAAGATTTTAGCTGTAAGTTTCAAATACTCGTCTATTTTTGTGACAGTCTTGGTATAGAAATGATATCTTCGTGTTCTGTTTTAAATGTACTTTTTAATTTTCATGAGTTATTTAACTTTTCCTACACATAGTTCAACTCCTATCTAGAGATGCTAAACACAATAGTTTCCTGGAAATATACAGAATCATCTAGTTGCTTCTTTTTTTAAAAATGATCTGGCCACATGAGCCATTTTATTTATTTAACAAAGTTTGTAAAATAAAAACAATTTGAACAGTCCAAAATGATTGATCAAAATCCCAAAAAGAAAGAAGTAAAACCAGAGAAAAAAAATGCATTTGGTGAAACTTCCAGAAATGGAAATCTTTGTCTTCTTTGCTCAACATTTATGCTCCGTCTCCATCGTTGTCATGGAAGCTGGTAAGTAGCTTCACTTTCTTCTTATCAACTTTTATCTTATCTTCCTCTTTTAGATCTGAATTCCATAGTTGAGAGCTGTAGTAGGTAATTATTCCCAAAAAAATCTCTAGATTGAAATTTCTCCCTTGTGCCTGTAGTTCCGGTGTCACTTAGTAGACTGAAATTTCTCCCTTGTGCCTGTAGTTCCGGTATCACTTAAGCTAGAGCTACAATGATGCTTTTTCAGCACTACATCTATGTTGATTTGATGTTGTCGACCTCGAAAAAGATCTGTGAACTTTTGTATGCTTTCATATGCTTTCTATATCTCTAACTTTCTGTATTCCTTATGTTGCCAAAATATTGAGCATGTGATGTAGATCCCCATAAATTAAATGCCATTTTGAGCCTCTGCCACATATAATCAATTGAGCAATCTGTTTTGCATCTGTGAGTCTTGCTTAGAAAAATCATACTAGTTGTATTCTTTCAGCATTAATGATAAACGTTTCCTGTTTTTCCTTGTGGATGTTGTGCTTTAATTCTTTGGTGTGAATCCTTAATGTAGCAAATTGTTGTTTGTCCAGATTTAGAATCTTCTTCGCAAGTGTAGGAAGATCTGTAAATTTAGAAAAAAGTGAACCTATTTTCATGCTCAAACGCAAAATTTGCAAGAAAGTCTGCTAAACAATTCCCTTCTCAGAATCATCCAGTTTCATTGCCACCCACCCCTAAATAAATTTTCACCACTTAAATATTTTTATTGATTCTAATAAGTGCAAGACAACAGATGCTTTAGTTTTGCAATACTTGCTAATGAGTTGATTAACAATTCATTATTAACAATGTTGGTATTCCTCTCTCATGTCTTCTATTTTATTTGTAGGATAAAATATTGGAGCATCTACCTGAAGATCAAGAACATGCTGCTACTTTAGGTGTTCCATTGAAGATATTGGCCCATCCTAATGACGCCATTGGAAAAGTGTATGGAGTTGAACATTCTGGTCGTGTGCGTGGTATAGGTGGTAATGTTTGTCCTTCAGCTGCTTTTGGGATGCCTAGACATTCAATTAGTCATGTAAATGTCGGTACTTCCAATAATATGTCTCATCAACGTGTTGAAGACCTAGAGAAACATGTAGAAACTTTGGAAGAGAAGCTGACCGGATATGAAGAGACCAAGGAAAAGCTTGAGGAAACTAAGAAACGACTTGCGCAAAATGAGAATCACTTGGCAACTCTTCATAGGTTTTTACAAGCCAAATTTGGTAGTGAATTGCCTACTTTCAACATAGATTCTTCTTAGTTTATGATGTAGCTTAAACTTTTTGCATTTTGATTACATTAGCAGTACTTTTGCTAACTTTTATGATGAAACTTGCCTTTTATTTTAATATATGATGAATACATCTTAGTTTATGATGTAGCTTAAACTTTTTGCATTTTGATTACATTAGCAGTACTTTTGCTAACTTTTATGATGAAACTTGCCTTTTATTTTAATATATGATGAATACATCTTAGTTTATGATGTAGCTTAAACTTTTTGCATTTTGATTACATTAGCAGTACTTTTGCTAACTTTTATGATGAAACTTGCCTTTTATTTTAATATATGATGAATACATCTTAGTTTATGATGTAGCTTAAACTTTTTGCATTTTGATTACATTAGCAGTACTTTTGCTAACTTTTAATTTTTATGATGAAACTTGCCTTTTGTTTTAATATATGATGAATACATCATCAAAGTAATGATTAGTGCATTTATTAGAGGATTGTAGGGAATCAATTGTATTTGTTTTAAAAAATAATTGTACACGTTCGCCACGGTTCAATATCTGTGGCTAATCTATAAAATGAAATTTGAAAATATACAAAGTACCTACATTTTATTAGCCACGGTTCCTGTATGGCTAATAAGTAATTACAAATATAATTTATTTTTCAGGCAATTAATTTTACCTACGAAATAAGCATGGCTAAATGTTAGTCCAACCGTGGCTAAATAGATGTTACCACGAATGTAAAAACCGTGGCAAATTTACTCGCGACGCCCGTTATGGGCACACTACCAACCGTTGCCAAATGACTGTGGCCAAAGTGTTTTAGCCACAGTTCTCATGCCCTTTAACCACGGTTTTGGGCGTGGCTAATGCGCGCGTTTTTTGTAGTGCAAGAAGCTAGAGAAAGCTCGTGGATCAAAAGCCGCAATTTCTCTACAAGTTCAAGAATTCGAGAATTCAAGAATTGAAGAATTGAAGAATTCAAGTGTTCAAGTTTAAGATTTGAAGAAGTCGAGATCAAGTTCAAGAACGATCAAGATCAAGACCATCGGATTCAAGATCAAACTCGAAGCCCTTGAATTCAACTAGAAAGTCAAGATCAAGAAAAAGTTCAAGTTCAAGATCAAGTCCAAGTCCAAGTCCATGTCCAAGATCAAGATCAAGATAAAGATCAAGATCAAGTTCAAGTCCAAGTCCAAGCTCAAGAGCCCTTGAATTATACTCCCTCTGTCCCAATTTATATGACTCACTTTCCTTTTAGTCAGTCCAAAAGAATGACACATTTCTATTTAAGTAACAATTTGCCTATAAAATGTCTTTTTTTACCCTTAATGAAATGATTTACAACCACACAAATTTCTATCATTCATTTTGGACCACAAGTTTTAAAAGTCTTTCCATTTTTCTTAAAGTTTGTGCCAAATCAAAGTACATCACATAAAATGGGACGGAGGGAGTATTTGAAAAGGTGAATTCAGAGGAATTATAAAGATTGTAACACTAGCACTTAAATCAATAAAACGATTGTTGCATAATTTTTCGTTCTTGATTATTGTTTTCTCGACGTGAAATTTTATTGTCTACAAATTCTGGCACAGTGGGACCATCTCTACCTCTTATCTCAACTTTTCAAGCATCAAAGAATATCGAGATGATTTCTGTGAAGAACAACTCTCGATCAACTGCCTCTAAGGCCACTAGCTCTAAGTTCTCTACTGAAGTTGAAGGCATTTTGGGTGTTACCTTTGGAAGTTTCAGAGCTGTTACGAGAAGCAAGACTGCTACACTAGGACAACAAACACTTCAAGTGTCATCCGCATCAACTCCAGTTTTTGGGTCTACGACTCCAAAAATATCAAGTTCCTCCGCAAACGCTTTAGAAGGAGGAAGCAGTGTTGCTGAAAAAATCAAGAAGACATTGGCTCTCCTTGAGCAATCTGGTTCCAAGAATTCTATCACAAGGGAGAACTGTGATTCAACGAATGAGTCACCTTCACGTGTTCTCCAATGATCATGCAAACAATGGTGGCTACTGCTTCTTTCTCTGAGGAACAACTCACAAATCTGACGAAGTTGGTTGAAGGATTGACAAAGCACGTACAACACCAAAAGTCTAGAATCGATAAGTTGATGGATCGAATGAAAGGACTTTTAGATGGAGAAGTGAGTCATGCACCCGAAAAATGTGTTGAAGTTCAAGAGATTGGAGATCCTGCGAAGAAAGTACCGCTTGTTAATGATTTGCTAGTTTCTTCTGAAGGAATGATCCCACTCGATCGCTTGAAGGAGTTCATTGAAGGCACTATCAAAGATAAGTATGAAGTCTCCACCAAGTCTTCTCATATGTATGTCAAGCCATACACTGCAAGAATTGATAACTTAAAAATGCATGCTGGTTATAAACCTCCCAAATTTCAACAATTTGAGGGTAGAGAAAATCCGAAGCAACATGTTGCACACTTTGTGGAGACATGTAATAATGCTGGAACATATGGAGACTATCTTGTCAAGCAGTTTGTCCGGTCTCTAAAAGGAAATGCCTTTGATTGGTACACGAATCTTAAGCCCAATTCTATTGATAGTTGGGAGCAACTAGAGCACGAGTTTCTTAATTGATTCTATAGCACGAGGCATACTGTGAGCATGGTAGAACTTACGAATACTTGCCAAAGGAAGGATAAACCAGTCATAGACTTCATAAATCGATGGAGGAATGCGAGCCTGAATTGCAAGGGTAGGCTTAGTGAAGCTTCTGCAATAGAAATGTGTATCCAAGGGATGCACTAGGAGCTTCTTTATATCTTACAGGGAATAAAACCAAAATCCTTTGAAGATCTAGCTACTCGCGCTCATGATATGGAGTTGAGCATGTCCTCTGCCGGAAATGATATGACGTTTGTCCATGACCCTCGCAAAGAAAGAGACAAGTAGGAACCTAAGCGATGGAGCAAATTTGTGCCCAAGAACGACAACAAAGAGTCAATGAATGTTAATGTGTCACCTGTGAAGTTCACTATGAAGGAAGGGAAGAAGCAAAGTGTGAGTACGAATTTCCAAGCGCATTCAGACCAAAAATCGATCTTAAGGGAAATGCAAGAAAAGGAATACCCCTTCTTGGATTCTGACGTTTCTGATATTTTTGATGAGTTGCTTGAATTAAAGTTCATTGAGTTGCCAGAGATGAAACGACCTGATGAAGCTGAAAAAGCTAATGACCCAAATTATTGCAAGTATAGACTTGTGATTCATCATCTTGAAAAATGGTTTGTCTTCAAGGATAGAGTGATGCGATGGTTAGAGAAAATAAGATTGTCCTTAATGATGAGAAAGCTAGTTCTAATCAAATCTCCATCACATTCGGCTCGCTCGATTCGGTCCAAATATGTATCGCAAAAAAGCATGAAGAAGAGTCATTGGAGCTAGACAAATCTCAAGTTTATATAGATGGTGATGAAGGCTGAATTCTTGTGACTAGACGAAGACGCAACAAGTCAAGCTTACGAAAAGAATCATGTGAGCAACTGATTAGAAAGAAGATGGTGAAGCAGAAATCAATAAAGCGCCCAAAGAAGGCAAAGGTAGAAGTACATCACTACCAGAAACCCCGACTTCTGTAACTCTAGAAGAATTCTTACCAAGTTGGTTGCGCACAAAGTCTACTCAAGAAAATGTCGAGGCATCATGTTTTAATGTTGATAAAGAAGAAACAATAAAGGTGTCTCCAACTGACAAAGAAGGAACAACGAGAGAATCCTCACCAAAAGTGTATCCTAGTGGTGAAGAAAAAACAACAAGGGAAATCTCGTCAATGATGTCTCCTTCATCTTCTGAAAAATCCTATTGAACCTTCTTCCCAAGAAGCACATACATGTGATACAAAAATCACATTAACAGATAATGATCTTCTATTTGGTGAAACACTACACAACCGTCTTTTGTATATGGTTGGTCACGTGCTAGAGAAGAAGATAAATAGAATCTTGATTGATGAAGAATCTGTTTTACTCGAAAATATAAATAAGAGAAAAAATGACTAAGTTTTCGAAAAATCGATCAAACTTATGCTTTAAGAGAAATCGAATTTCCAAATGAGCAGAGTTGCCACATAATTTTTTAGTAAAAATCAAGAAAAAACTTAAGGTTTTCAAAAGACTCAAACATATAGAATCAATTGAAAAGGGATTCGAAGTTCGATGTACATTTCGAGAAGGTGTTAGTCCCCCGGAATGTCCGCTAACTTGTGGTTGACCGGCGATTTGAGTAATTTTAAAAAATTTAACCAAGTCAAAAGTAACTCATTTTTTTTATTTATTTGCTCAATTTTTTTTATCTTTTATTTTTTATTATTATTATCTAAAGGGAAATGAACTAAGGAAATTTTTTAAATGGAAATAACTTAAGTGACAAGATGAATAAATAGAACAAAGCTAAGTAAAAAATGGATATATTTTGAACATAAAAGAGAAATGACTATCTTTTGGGAATTAATTAAGTTAAAATCAATTCACATAAAGAGTTAGTGAATACAATATCAAATAAACATAAGGGAGAAGGAAGTATCAAATTTGGGACTTTGGCCCAAATTCCAAGTCTTAATAACCTGTCCTAAGTCTAGAATTTCCAAAATGATGGGCTTTGGCCCATTTGTCTCCTTCAATTTTTCTTTGATTTGTCTTACTAGGCTTTGCCCCATTTTTTGCACCACCTGTTTTTTCAGCTTTCCGGAACCCGTAAATTTAATTTTCAGCCTTTTGTACTGCCTTTAACCTGTTCATCGGCTATTTTGGGACTCGATAGAGAGAAGCATTGGGCACGGCCCAATCCACGAAATGCAAGGAGAGGGGGTGAAGTCCAAATGGACTCAAATGATTTTCATATGCAACAAAAGAGAAATAAAGATCAACAATGGAAAACAATATCTTTGAACCAAAGCTTAATAATTAACCGATCACAAAGACAATAAGGATGTATAAGAGGGCTGCAACTTAATACTCTCAAGCCAAGATATACAAGTAAATAA